TTGTTTTGTATAAAAATAATTTATTTAAATAATTAAAACAAAAAAAATAAAATTGGAAGGAAGTGGATGGCCCACGTGGCTTGCAATGTGAATTGCAAAATTTGCAATTATGAATCCTATGTGGCAAAGTTATTCTGACAACAATCCATTTGCAATTCAATTTGAAAGATGTATGTGGATGGTCTTAGCTATCTACGCAAGTTACCTGACACTGCAATAGGTTCTAAATTATTGAAAATGAAGAATATGACTTATGGTGAATAAAAATATATTATATTGCAGTTTACTAGATACTACACAATGATTGCTAAATAGCAAATCAGTGGTGATGATCAGCATTATTAACTGCTTTTGCTTATAGTTACCCGAAAAATACAAGACGTCCCTGTCATCCCATCCCAACCCGTGAAACTTTCTGGAAGGGACACTACAAGTTGGTAGAGTTGTGTCAGAAGAAACAACCGCCCCAAATCCCCTCAAAAAGAAAGAAAAATGGAAGAAAAAAGGAAAAACACAAAATAAAAGAGAAAGAAAGACATAAAAAAGATATACTTAAGAGGTTCACCTGTTTGCACAGACCCTCACCTTTGGGGTTTAAGAGGTCAAGAATCGAATACCCTGCTCAGCTGTTACTAAAAAAATATGATTAATTAGACAGAAAAAAATGGCAACCAAATTATCGGAAACCCAAGGACTCAATCGTGCGGATGTGTAAAATAGAGGTAGATGATTACACATCAACTTTTGAAGAAGTCAATTTTGTGTGAACTAACTTTGGCAGAGGAGAGCCTCCAGTATCACTGTAAGAGTATTACAATCTCCAAGGGCTTCTACTTATGAACAACTTTCTCCTGCAATTCAGATACCCATTTGATGAGGAAATACATTGTTTTCTAGTGAGAGTGTATCCCCTATTAAATTTGATACTGGTCCACCATTACGGCACTACCAAAAGAAAAATCTTCTTCAATTTGTCTGGGTTGAGAAGACAATAGACAAAAGACTGTATTTGATTTTTGGACTGCTTGCTGACTCATACGATGAAGGATCCAACTCCAATATTGTAAGATTGCTGCACAAATAGGAATACATTATAATAGGCTGGTACCTGTATGCGCCTAGTTCACATAACAGCGCCATATTTGGCAGAGAGTTTCCTGGATCTCAGGGGCATTTAATTGTCAACTCCTATAAAACAACAACGAGCTTGCACTAAAAGCTGACCAGAACATCCAAAGTTGCAAATTTTGAAATTTATTATCTGTCAATCAGAATTTACTTGTGATGAAAGAGTTTTTAAACACAAACTACTAGTGCTAGGTGACAACATTGCCTTCACATATAATGTGGAAGGAAAGAAGCCCTGACCTTTTCCTATTCTATTAATCAATAATAGTTGTTCCTTCGCCAATGTGAACATTGAGATAAGTATAAAAGCCACACATTCAAGAGTATATACAAAATGATAAACATAATCAGAATTATATATACACAATGCCTAAGTGAAATGACAACGAGCTTTCACTAAAAGCTGGCCAGATCATCCAGAGGTAGGGTGGTAATGGCTAATGAGAAAGTCAGGCAACAAAACTTGAGATGGCGGTCATCTCCAACATAGACCCTTGATGCCATGAGGTCATTAGAAGAGTGATAGAAGTCCGCTGATACTAGCATGAGGGAAGTTGTCAACAGTAAATTGAGCTAGCAGGATACACCAAATGAATTGCCATTAGATGGGAAACACAAATACTTGGCTTTCTTATATCTATCATAAACTCTACCTCATCAACTTTGATCATGTATTGTTCCTCGGTGGAGAGAATTTTAATGCCAACCATATCTCTACTCAGAGCTTCCTACCAATATCAATCTGTGAGCATTTACTAGCTACCAGCACACCTGAGAGATAGCAACAAACACTACTTACATGTATAGACCAGAAAATCACTACCATTTGTCATTTAAGTGGTTTATAATTTCCCAATACTAAATCAACAAATTGATCATGTTCCCTTCACACAGTAAACATATGATGTTTCCTTTTTCAGAAGGATATCTGGTATTTCCTCTTCTTGAGCAGCTAAAATTACACCATTATATTAAAGGGGTCTAACATAAGAGGAACAAAACAAAGAAAATAAATTCACAGAGGAAGCACTACAAATCCACAACCAGAGATTACATCAAAGCTTTTTGCCCAAAAAGTGCCATAAGGTGATTAATGTGTTTTCTAGGTCAATTGCAATGAGGTGGAGATAGTATATGATCGACATGGAAACATACTGTACAAATTCTTCTTTGAACAGTAGAAATACTCGCAATATATATATATAAATAAGGGTAACACGTTAAACATGGCAATGGCGTTACAGAGGAATAAACTTACCAATTGCTCCCAGAATCAGTCCTCATGCTATTAACCGATGATGCAAGACTCGCTCCTTCTCCCCCTTTCATCTGATTATGTGAGTTTATGAAGAAAAGAAGGAGAAACTGGAAAGTACATGTCATGTAGAACGAACAGTGTGACCTTCATTCCCCATTGCTTGTGAAATTAAAATAAATTAATAAATTATTTTTATAAACAAACTCAAACACCCTGAATTAAACTGGAAAGATACTTCCAAAATATTCTTTACCAAAAAAAAAATATTATTTTTTATTATTCTTACCTATCAGAATTTTGAAATTAAATGCATAGAAAATAATAATTAATATTTAAATAATATAATTTATATTATAATCTCTAAAATAAAAACCGTTAGGATATAAATATAATTTTCTGTCAATATTTTTGAAAATGTTCTTAAGGTTAAGATAATCATTATGAATGAGTTTATGATTACTGGACGTGTAAATTTTAATGTTTTATTTCATAATAAAGTTTTGTATGATTTTAAGAAAACGATAATATTTTTATATTTGAATAAAACATAAATTTGAAGAACTATAAAAAAAATTATTTGTATGAAATTAATAATTTAAAATTTTTTTTTTTATAATGTTTTTAGTTATTTTTTAATATAATTTAATTTAGGTTTAATAACGATGTAAACTACTTTAGATATAATAATATAGTGTTCTTTATAAATATAATTTTTAGTTCAATCTTTTTATTATAATTTAATTTGAGTTTAGTGATGAATTAATTTATTTTAGGTTTAATAATATTATTTTTGTTATAAAGATAATTGTTGGTCCCGAATAGGATGAAAATAAACAGAAAGTAATTGTAGAAGGGGTTTGAATAAAATTACACATATTTTATTAACTTTTAAATTCTTATCGATGTATATCAAGAATTAACAAAGATGCAATAAAGATTGTTGCGGAAGAAAAGAATGATATCCTAACCTTAACAATCGTACAAATAAAATAACTTACAAGAAAAACACAAAGAGTATTTGCAAATAAATGAAGAACACTAAGTTTTTATTCACACACAGGAGAGTAGAAGAGGATAGCCGATTGTCTTGAGAATGCACTTACAAATCTTTCAAAAGAGTCAGTTTGCATGGGAGATGCACACTGCCTTTTATACTACCTTTCAGCATTAAATACATGGGGACACTTGTCACATGAGGATAAAAAGACATGGGTTGACTTGACCATTGTTGAAATCTCAATTTCATCGTACACAACATGCATACAACACTGTTTATATAGAGACAAACTTTTGCAGATATATGGTCAGTCTGTAGAAAGATCTTATTTGGATGGATTAGTAGCTTCAAACAGCTACTCACAAATCTTTGGTGCATGAAGATCTTCCTTCAATCTTCGGTCCATAAAGATTTTCCTTCAATCAGCTTGTAGTTTCAAAATATTTTCAATCTTCATTTCAACTACTCTGGAGTCTTGTGTGTATATTAGACAGTTGATTCACAATACCGCATCAGTGGCCTTCTGTCTTCACATCGGCTAATCTTCGATTTTTCCAATGACTTAAGTATGTACCAAGACACTAATATACAAAAAACCCAATAACTACCAAGTGTTGATAGGATAGAGGAACAAATCAGGAGGTCATCACCAAACAAATAGGTGACCCAATAATAATTAAGTATTCATTTAAAAGTTAATGATTATCCTAATTATATTTTAGATTATTTGTATTTAAAATGAAATGTTTATTTTGTATTTAATTATGTTTTTCAGTTGGTTATATGAATTCAAACATGTAATTTTAAAAGTGCATCATCAAATAGTGCATGATGCATTAAAAATAATTTTTAAGAGTTCTATCAAATGCTTTATAACATAACAAGAATGATACTCAAGCAATGCAACGAGATACATCTTGATTTCAGTGTTTCGTTTTATTCATTGTCTTTGTCGATATAATACGGTTTTATGTGGTTTTGAAAAAGCGGTAATGTTTTCATTTTTCAATAGAAAAAATTTGAAGATAAAAATTTAAAAAAATTATATTGATATAAGTATCAAATTAACTATTTAAAAATTTTAGTTTCTTTGTGAAACTTCTTTAAGTAAATTTTTTATTATAATTTAATTTGAGTTTAATAATGAAATAATTTATTTTTGGTTTAATAATATAATTTTTTTATAAAGATAATTATTAAGTATTTCATTAGAACTCAATGATTTTCATAAGTATATTTTAAATTTTTTATATTTAAAATGAAATATTTATCTATAGTTAGTCACACAAATTCAAATATGAAGATTTAATAAGTTAGACTTACTCACAAATCACGATTACTTGTAATTTTGAATTTTAAGTAATGTATATCAATAAACAGTACTTCATGTACAAAAAATGATTTTTAAGAGTTTTGGTCAAATACTTTATAATATAGTATAAATAATTTAAGTTTAATAATGAAGTAATTTATTTTTGGTTTAATAATATAATATTTTATAAAAATAATAATTAAATATTTTATTAGAACTCAATAATTTTCATAATTATATTTTAGATTTTTCATATTTAAAATGAGATGTTTATTTTGTATTTGATTTATCTGCAATTAGTTATACGAATTCAAAGATGAAGTTTTAATAAATTGTACTAACATATAATTACTTGTAATCTTGAATTTTAAGTAATATATATCGATAAACAATATTTTATACACAAAAAATAAGTTTTAAGAGTTTTTATCAAATACTTTATAATATAGTATATATGAGAGTATATTACATTTTTAATCTTTGTTGAACTCGATAGTCATTTCTCATATTCAAACTCGACTGGAAAACTCGCGAACAGTTAAAAACTAAATTGGACTCGAACTCCATTGCAATTTTTTCAAACTCGAACTCCAATCAAGCTTGAACCAAACTCACATGTTGAGATTTATGAAATTTTATGTTCTTCTTTTATAAATTATAAAACTTAAAGATATTCTGTTAAACTTTATAGAACTCAATGAATGCACCTCTAACTTAATCATCAAAAAAATAAAGTTAAAAACTTCATTCACTGCTCTTTTTTTTATAACACATATTCACCTTTCATTTATTACCTTGAGATAATTTCACCAACACCTTTATAGCTTTTTTGTCATTTTTTTTAATTATGATCATAATAAAAAAAAAATTGACTAGTTTTTATAGTTAAAAAATGCACAATTTTCTTCAAACGTCTAAAAATATAAGACATTTTTATTATATTATATATTACAAATTATATTATAAAATTGATAATATTTTAAAACTAATTATATATAAAAATGAGTATTTCATGAACTTTTCAACTCAGAGTATTAGATAGCTCGACTCGACTGTTAATATGTCAAGTCGAGCTCGAGTTCGAACCGAGCCTATTCGAGTCAAGTGTTGGCCGAGCTTCAACCAAGTCAATTTCGCGTAACTTTCGAGTTGTCTCGTATTATTTACACCCCTACTGTTACCACTTACTACCAACTCTCATCCCTATTTTATACTAATTGACGTTCGGTCATTATGGTTGTCATTTTGTTTCACTTTTGATCACTTCAACCAACCAACACACATTAACTCTCCGATATTTTAGTAAGTTTACTCTTCAATTATAAATAAAGGAAGGAAAAAAGTATAAAATGACGAAACTACCTCTAAGGTGACAAATTTTGTTTAACGAAAGTTAATGACAAATGTCGGGATGTTATAAAATGTAAATCACATGAATTCTTTTATTTCAGAGACACAGTGTAATTTTTGATAAATCACAGAAACCAAAATACAGTCTACAATTTATTTTAAATACAGTCGTCTATAAATCATCGTTTCAATGAAATTGAATACGTCATTATATTTTATAAAATATATTTTACTGATTAAATAATAAAATATTTTAATAATATAATCAACTTTTACTTTACGAAAACTTCCATAAAAAACATGAGTCTGAAATAGTTTACAGTTTTCATAAAATGCAATGAATTTATAAATATTGCAATAAAGGCGATGGAGTTCATTCGTTGTCGGCCAGTACGTGCAGAGAAAGTTGAATTGAAACACATGCCACATGCCCCATGCCCGCCCGTCTCATCTCCCACCAACCATCATTCATGCAAAACATCATAACCATCATACATAACATCCCATCATCATACATACATAACAATCCCATCATCATACCACACATATAGTCACGTTATGAAAACAGAAAGTAAATGGTACGAACTTACACTATCTTTATCCTACCCGTCTCATTGATTTTAACATGGTAGACTAATTTTTAATTTACCTAGGAGAAAAAACTCCTAAGGGCCATGGTTAGTGGTGCTAGCAAAACCCAACTCAACCCGATGAGAAATTATTCAACCTAAAGTAACTGATGTCTAATCAAGTTGTAAAATCTTTAAATCATAAGTATTGAGTTACCTTTATTTGAAACCAACTCAATGAACCCGATATCTTTTTATATCTTCGATTTAATATGATTGTTGAATTTCTATAGCAGACAATTACACCATCACATACCTTTTTCATATAGATATTTTCATTTTTATTTTACATATCTATATAACTCATTTGTATATATCTTCAATAATTATGACCATATATATATATATATATATATATATATATGCAAATTGAGAAATTAATTGAATATGATATACTCAAGATATAAGAAGTGTAAGATAAGTTGTACCAAATGACAGATGATGAAAAATAAATGATGACTAGATTAGAGAAAACAAAATATTGGGTTGAGATTTTTCAAACCGAAATATTGAATTGGGTTGTTTAAATGTCTTCAATCCGATCAATCCAACCTAGCACCCTACTCTGGCCCTAAAGATCCCTATAAGTCTTCGCCCCTGGTTCAGAAAATAAATTGTGTACCAAAGCAGATGGATAATGCCTCACGTCCAAACCTTTCTTTTTTTCTTATAATAAAAGTATAAAAACCACATGCTGATTGTTTCATAAAATAAAAATGCATGGGTTTGTTCATGTTTTATGCTATTAATCGTTGTTTATGAGATACAATTATAATATAAGACCGTATTTTTGGACCATTTATACATTTAATATATACAATTATAATATACATACATATATATATATATATATATTTATATATTGTGTGTGTGTGTATGACTCTCACAAAGGGATAACCCCCTATAAATGGCCACCTTTGCTTTCAATTCCCAAAATTTGTAATTCCAACTCTCTTCATCCTCAAAAAAGTCCTCTTTTAATTCCAATGGGTGAGGTTAGTTTCAAGAATCTTATGCCTCCATTTCCTTTTTCTTTTCTTCAAAACTTAATTACATGTTTTGAATTTTAATACAGAAAGATAGCATGAAGAAAGAAGATAATGAAAAGAAGGTGGTTGATGCCGGTGGCACGCCAAAGGTCGAGGACAGTCGGATCACCGTTGTCTTAAAACTCCACTTGCATTGTGACGGTTGCGCCAAAAAGATCAAAAGATCTCTACGTTATATCGAAGGTATAGAAACCGGATCAAAATGGGTGGTTGTGCACATGTCTTTTGGTTGTTGATGGTACGACGGACTAACGCTGACTTCTCTGTATGTAGGTGTGGAAACCGTAAATATCGATTCTGCCAACAATAAGTTGACGATAATTGGGATAGTGGATCCGGTGCATATTAAAGAGCGAGTCGAGTTCAAAACCAAGAAGAAGGTGGAAATTATCTCTCCCAAACCCAAAAAAGATGACGGAGGTGAAAAGAAAGTCGATGATAAACCAACGGAGGCAAAATCCAACGACCAAAAACCGAAAGAGGTATCACAAATTTAGCAACGGATTAGTCGAGTTATGCACAAGTTGGATAGCAACAAGTTTTGTATTTTAATTAATTATTTATTGTATTTTAATTAATTATTTATTGATTTTATTTTAATTGTGGTTATTTAGCCTCAAGTGATTACAATGGTGTTGAAGATTTCGTTACACTGCGATGGATGCATACAAAAAATTAAACGAATCATTTTAAAGATTGATGGTAAGCCAATTCCAAAAATCAATATTATTTTTAATTAATTTATAAAAAAAATTAATATTTAAAAATTATTTAATTAAAAATTGTATCATTATTGATTAAATAAATGATGTCGTATTTTGTTGGTTTACTAACAGGGGTAGAATCGGTAATAGCGGATAGCAGCAAGAATTTGGTGACGGTCAAAGGAACAATGAATATGAACGAACTTGTACCGTACTTGAAAGAAAAATTGAGAAGAAATGTCGATATTGTCCCTCCTAAAAAGGAAGACAACAAGGTGGAAGAGAAAAAAGATGAAAAGAAGGTTGAAGGAGGAGGGGATAAAAAAGAGAAAGAAGGCGGTAACGATGGTGACGATAAAAAGAAAACTGACGTCGAAAAAGCGCCTGAAAGTAACGAAGGTGGTGAAAAGAAGAAGAATGATGTCGGAAAAGTGACGGATGGTAGTGAAGGTGGTGGAGAGAAGAAAAACGATAAGGTAGAAGCAACAAGTGGTGGTGACGAGAAGAATAAGTCGGATGGTGAGGTAAAACCGCCAACTGGCGACGGTGGCAGCGATGGCGGCAATGGTGGAGGTGGGAGCAAAAGTGTTGATTTGGTAAACAAATCGGAGTATTATAGATATAATCCTTATATATACACAATGCCTGTGTATAATCAGAATTATCATAACCAAGATTACGGTCTTTCGGTTTATCCTGGTCGTGGCTACGCAAATGAAGGTTACGTGAATCACGGGTATGTCGTGGAATATCCGCATGGACCTCCGGCTCCTCCTCCACCCATGTATCTTCATGATTCTCGGGCTTCAGGAATGGACATGTTAAATGCGGAGAATCCTAATGCTTGTTCAATCATGTGATCAACGATTTGTACCATTATATTAAGTGAAAATAATAAGCATGTTATCCAGAAAAGCATGCATACGAGTCTGATATTAAAATGTAAATTATTTGTATAAATTAGAGATTTTTGAAGTTATAAATGGTACCGGCTAATATGCTAGTTGATAATAAGCATACTAAAAAATCTATTTTATTATTGAAAATATGTGAAAACTTGAAATACTGATCCATTTTTTTGTTTCACAATCGAAAACAGACTTTTTTATTTGAACCACCTAACAGCTGAGTGTATTTTATTAATGACTTAATAATATGAATTACGATACATGTATAATACAAAAAACTCATGATGCATAAGGTCCGAGATTTTGAAACCTGTTTTTATATGGAAAAAATCTCGAGCCTGGGCTAAGCTTGGCTTTGGGTGTGAAATGGGCCCAAACGAGCTTTTCCGATTCAAACTTTAACCGGGTCTTGAAAAAAAAAAATACTTTGTTTGAACGAGTTTTTTTGGCATGGGCTGATCTCGGGGATGCTAGGATTTTCAATAGATGGAGATGTGCATCTCGGAAAGCACGAAATAGACCTACGTGTCGACCAACGTCACAACAAAGAGTTAGAGATGGGCTTTTCAGACAAAGAACTTTTTGTTCATCTTTAGTTAAAAACGATAGAATCATAAGATAATAATTATAAATGTGTTAGATACAAATATAACAGTAAAAACGAAACACAACAGATAAAAAACGAATACCCACATTTTTAAGCATCTGATTATTAATTAAGGATGTTTTTAACTATAAACCAAATCAAGCATCATTTTCTTAGACAAATAAAAAACCAATATCCACATACTTGCTACCAAAAATAATATAATAATTTTTTAACCACAAGAATGGTGTCTGATTGGTTTGAGTTTGACTCCGAAGGTCAAAAATAGCAGGAGGTCTCAGGTTCAAATCCAAGGAGGAATAAAAATCCCCTTGTGGCCACGAAGGTTCAAATGTGGTAACTCCGGGCTATCTGCAAAGCAGATGGTTGCCTTGTGATTAGTCGGCTCGCATAGCTGGTTGGATATCCAGGTTAATAAAAAAATATAATTTTTAACAAAAAATATAGCATTAAATTTGACACATAAATTATTATACAAGTTTAAAAAAATTCAAATACAACTATTATAGATACACATGTTTTACAAGTTTTTTGTAACAGTTTTAAAAGTGATTCACTCAGTTTATTTTCCATCAAGATTCAATATTCTAACCGAGGGGAATCTTCTTTTTATCGTAAAAGACAAAATATATCACGTTATCATCAATGAAAGTCTTTCCGAAATAGTTTAGGCAACCGTTTTCGTGTGAATTCGTAACGGAATTGCTTCATGACAAAGCGATAACGATTGGTTTATTTCATTAATTATTTTGAATTCATCTCTCTTAAATAATTGAATGCTCATCGTCAATTATATATGGATTTCGAATTAAAGTATACATTAATATGTTAATAATAATCAAAGGGCCTTTGGCTTAGCAATATATGACTTGCTGACCTCCTAGAAAGTCAAGGGTTTAAACCTCATCAAATATGAATAAGGTGTGTGATTTTTATATGTTCTATTTGTTGTATATAAATATTATATACTAAAAAATGTTAATAACATAATTCGTAATGGCCTTCTTTAATATCATTTTAATTTTTAAATAATAATAAAACATTCACCAGACTTTATATTTTTTAGAAATATATATAATTATTACAAATAAATGAAGAAAAATAGGTAATAACAAAAATATTAGAATGTAATATTAATTAATTAATTAAAAAACCATTTGCATTATACTGTGACAGTGACACAATCATGCCATGCAAAATGACAAAAGGGTCCAGTTGTAAAAGCATTAAGAACACACCAATCTCTATCCACGTTTATCAAACAAAACTAATATATTTTTTTATATAATTAAAATTAAAAATTATAATTTATGAAAATCCCTGTTTTAGGGTCGTTTATATGTTCGTTTAGGTATTAAATTACCATCAAACAAATGACTTTTTTCGCTAGAAAAATATGCCGAAAATCCATAGGAAAATGGTTTTACCGACGGATTTTTGTGCCGGAAAACTCAATTACCGGTAGATTATGACCACCAGAAATCTGTCACTCCAATTTTTAAAAACTTAGTAGAACTCTTGATTTAATTACCGGATATAATTATTGAGATTAGTTTCCCATCAGATTTTTCAATGGTAAATATTAATTTATTTTTAAAATTAAATTACCGACGGATATGGGCGTTGGAAATCTTCCGGTAATTATTTTATTTTAAATTCAATAATAATAATTCTTTTTTATTTTGGATAGGATAGGTGTGCTTAACTGGTCCTTTAACAATTGTTTCCAACGATTTGGTCTGCAAACAGTTGTTGAATTTGAAATCCAAACAGATGACATTTGGATTGGGGAAAGTTAGCCAAATGTTATATCTTATAGGGAGTTTAAGTTGGTTTGAGGTTAGAAGTGCGGACGGTAAGTAGTTACGTGTACGAAACATGTAGTAAAATAGGCGGTGAAGAAGACATGACGATGAAAGTCATTTTAGTGATAAAAGTTATCATACCGTTCGGTGGTGAAAATGATAATATGTAAGGGATGTTTGGATGCGTGTTTTAAAAGTGATTATGCATTCTCGAATAACTTAAATAAATAACCAGCTATCACCAAATATTTAGAAGTGTTTAATTTGTTGCTCAAACTTGTAAAAATCATTTTTGATAGTGTTAAACATTTAACAAATACTGACTGTATAGAAAGTAGTAGATAACATAAGGATATTTAAGTAATTGTACACTACTTTTAATAGTCAATTTTGTTACAACGTACTTTCTGAAAATTGATTATTTGACCATTGAACAATCATAATCATAAATAAAAACATGTTATCTGAACACTGAAAATGATAAGTAGGACTCAAAATCCCAAAAATTCTGAAAATCACTTTCAAAATCATATCCAAAAACCCTTTTTATTTAATACATGATTTGAGATTAATTATTGGATAATTCTTTAAAAATACCAAGTTTGAGAAACAAACAAATTTTAGAAAATATATAATTAAACATCAATAATGCCTAAATTAATATATATATATATAGAGAGAGAGAGAGAGAGAGAGAGAGAGGGAGATGAGCGATCAAATAAAAATCACTCTCATTTGTAAAAACCGTACAAACCATCCTCATACGTCGATTTCATTGTTTAATCTTATGAAATTTTTTCATGAAATTGTTTAATCATGTGAAATTGTTTCATATAATACTTTTTTTGATGAATTTGTTTCATATATGGTTATGAAATTGTTTCATATAATATTTAATGAAACTGTTTCATGTATTTCTCTAAAATTAAAATAATGAAGATGATAATATCCATAATCAATACCATCTACAATAAAAATGGTTAATCAACCTCTTATAATTACAAAAAAATGAACAAAATGAAAAATTATTATTGGTTAAATGAGGTTTTCACGGTTTTTACAAATTGAGTGGTTTTTATTTGAACGTTCCCCTATATATATAGGGGTCCATTCAAGGAATAACTGATTAGTTTGTATTAACCGTGAGATCCAATCTTAACTACAAATCAATAGTTAAATTAAGAAATTAATAATTTTGATAATTTTAAATTAAAATATTAATTAAGGGCATTTTAGTCATTCTAGATTTTTTTTTTCTCTCCTCCCTCCTCTCTTCTCTCTCCTCTCAACTCTCTCAGTCAAACACTTCTTATTTCCAATGAACACTATATCAACACATGATGCACATTGTGATACGCTTCATAAAATAACGAAAAAAACACAGTGTGATACACTTGGTAAAGAAAACATTACCTGATATATTGTGTTACACTTCGTAAAACAACAAAAATATATTGTGATACATTTCGTATAACGATAAAAATACATTGTGATACACACTATAATACCATATATGGTTGATGAATACAACTGTGATACCACTATGTTACCACTGCGATACCCAATAAGTTTTAACAGTAAAAAATTATATATTTATTTTCTGAATTGTAACTTTATAGAAAGAAACTTCCATAATTTGTTTGATTAATAAGGAAACAATATCAATCTCTTGGATTGAGAGTTAAGAAAAATATTAATAAAATCACTAATACACATTTTTTTCTTAATTAAGGTAATACAATTAATATAATAAAATGATTGACTCATATTGAACCTCACAGTTAACACAAACTAATTAGTTCTCATTTGATTAGACTCATATATAAATAATTTTTAATTAATACTTTATTAAGAAAATATAACATTTTATCTAGAAAAAGAATTTATTTATGTTTTAACAATCTAAAAAGATATTTAAAAAATTATCATGGTTATTAAGTTATATTAAACCAGAGTACGTTTTAGAAAAACGTGTCAAAAACCTCTATTCAGTCACAAGTCCTTAACAAGGAGTCATGTTCATGTACAAGAACCGAACTTTTTTTCTCGTTTCTTGTTCCGTTTTTGTTTTTTGATGTTCTATTATATTTTGTTTTAACAAACATAACTCTAAAATATATATAAATTAATACTAATTTAAATTTATGAATTAGTAATTTTAGAATATATTTATAACTTTGAAAT